TACATTCTATACTTTATAGTTCTCAATGGTACTAATAATCACACAATTACACAGGTAACATTCCTCTTTCTGTAAGATCCTCAGACCATATTATTATTTTCTTACTTATAATTCAGTGCTAAGTACTTTGCTCTAGTCCAAGTAGATGCCCATTTGTATTTGTTGAACAAATGATTTAATCAAGTTTTTTTAAAAAAAAACAAAAACTGTAATTGAGTTATGGGAAAATGGGATTGAGAAGTATCTATCTCACTTTTATGTATTATTAATCCTCTTAATAATTGTGTATGTTAAAGATAAAAACAATTTTTAAAGGATAATTATGATAATGACTATCAAATAACTATCAATCTTTTCATTTTTTGCAATGGTATTTGACATTTATTGTGTTGGCATTATAGATTATTAAAATTCATAATCATCTAAGGAACAAATGAATTAGATTTATTATCCTTTGTATTATATGTTTAGCCAAGAACCTGAACTGAGAGATTTGGGAAAGACTTTCAAGAGATGTATGTAAAAAGGTGCATAGAATGAAGTGTTAACCTAAAAAGGAATCTTAAATTATTATATATACCATCTTAGTAATTTATGAGTCACATAGATACATTTTTATCTAACCAAAATCCCTTTTTCAAGGAGTGCCAATTTTGAATCTCCACACAGGTAGTGAAAGATATGCTTCATTAAAGCAAATTATGCCCCTTCAACTTTCTGTAGTGGGACTCAGAACTTTTCAGCACTTGAGACTTGAAATTTGCCCACCAAACCCAATATTATGTTCCCGTCTATCTTAGCATGACTTGCTTCTTCTTAGTTTGTTATAACAAATGTAGCTATAGTAAAGTGACTTCTATAATTTTTGGTTTTTGAGATTTAATTTTTTTTTAATTTTATAGAGCCACAAATAAGGTACTAATGGTTTGATGCTGAAATGAAAGATTCCATTAGGTCATGTCACCCTGATATTGTTAATAATAACAATGAAAATAATTATGATATGTAACATTTTTCAGCACCTGCTCTATGCTAAAGGGATATATGTACATGTTTACATGTATTCACATTTATTTTTTACCTCAACCTGTCAGGTACATAATATTATTACAACCACTGAACAAATGAGAAAACTGAGGCACAAAAAGGTAAACTAACCTATCCAAGGTCTGAGCTTATGTTCTAAGATTTATTTAAACAAGGATTAAATGGACACAAGGGTTGAATATGCCACACTAATAAAAAGACATCTAGAGCATGCTCTGCAAAACAGCATTAATTCAAAATATCTTCACTAAAAAGGGTTGATCATCTTTTAATTTTTATGAATGACAATATTTTTTCAAGTATTTCTCACAGCAGACTTGAAAAGGGTTAAAAGTCGGTCTGAAAAAAAAAATCTCATTATCATGAGATCATGAAGGAGAATAAGACATTTTTTCCCATATTAAAAATGTAATAAAAACAAAACCTCTTCTAGATCCTTTTTTTCAGTATTAAATTGGTTGATTTTGAGGAATTTCCAATAATTTTAAATTTGCTTATTATCATCATAATTTTTAGAAGGTAGAATATTTCTTACAAACAACAGTAAGAACAAGAGTGTTACTTAGTGCCGGTCAGTAATCGTCTGCATAGTATATTACAAAATAATGAATACAATAATGAAAACTCACATGCTTTGAAGGAGAAGTACAAATGTAGTGTAACAGCAATTGTGACATATTTGAGAGGGCCTGGCTATCGATCTCTGATTTAAGTAAGATTCTACAGAGCTGTAGAAAACACAGAATATGTGGTAGGCAAAATTATGTGCCCCTCAAATAGTCTCGTGTTTTAATTCCTGAAACTTATGACTATGTTACATTACATGGCAAGGAGATTTATGGCAGGTGAAACTGTTTCCCAATAAGCTTACCTTAAAAGAGGAAGATTATCGGGGTGGGCCTAGTGTGATCACAAGGTTCCTTACAAGTGGAAGAGGAAATCACAAGAGATTAGATTGACTTGATATAAGAAGGGTTGAATATGTTTCTAGATTGATGTAACGTAAGAAAGTCTGAATGTGTTTCTGGCTGGCTTTGGAGATGGAGAGTCACAAGACAAAGAGAGATCTCCAGAAGCTGGAAAGGATAAGGCAACGGATTCTCCCCTGAAACCTCCAAAAAGGGAATGAGGCCCTGATGACATTTTGGTTTTAGCACAGTGA